GGCTTACAGCTAGTGGAAACTTGTAGTGAAAGTAAGAAATCGTGTACTTTTGACAGTACTTTTGTACTGTTGGCAGCTCACCAGAGCCAACAACTTGGGCGAGACCAAATAAATGGCAAGACCAAGTGGGGGAACAGACCAATCACAGAATATTGCTGTGGGAACCTTGGAGCAAAAGTGGACAATATATTTGTCGGTTTTGCTTTGTTCTGATTTTTTTTGGTATCTGTTCAGTCACTGTTTGAGCACCTCCATTCTGATGAATAGAGGGGGTGCCTGAGCGAGTGGACATCCCTCAGCCCCACCACAGGTGGGTTCTTCTGCCACGCATGCACAGATAATTGCAACCCAAGAGCCAGTTCTGAACTGTTTTGTTTTTTTTTAAAACAGGGAAAAGACCAGAAAAGGGGTGTGGAGAAGGAAAGAGAATTTAAAAATAAAACAGGCCAAAAATTAAATTAAATCGTGAGGTACAGCATAACAACCAACAGTGGCATCTTGAAATTTATCAGGCGGCCTTGAAGGCAAGAAGCTAAAAGAGAACATTGAAGTCATACTCATATTAGGCTACAGAGGTTTGTTTTTTTTCTTCTCTCCCTCCTCTCCCTAGTCTGCAATTATAGACTACAGTATCCAATCTAGTTTTTTTGTTGTTGGGTTTGGGGGGGGAGGGGTTTGGTGGTTTTTATTTTTGTTTTGTTGCTGCTGCTGATTTGCTGTTTTATGCTCCCCCTTTTACTTTATGGGACTCTTTCTCTCCCTATATTACCCAAGAAGAGACAGCAACTGCTGCCAAATAGTCAAGCTACAATCACATTCTATAAAACACCAAAATCCAGGCAAGAACCAATACCAGCTGCCATATACCAGGGAGCCACACAACACCTGTGAAAGTTACTCCGAGTTAAACAATAAGAAGAGTGAAAAGGGGAGCCCACATCCTGATCACATCTACCTGTAGGCAATCAGAAAGCATAAAAAATACCAAAACATATACTCAATTAAGTATTAAGGCCACAGATAAACACTAAACATGCCCATGAAGCAAAAGCAAATGACCATATTAGCACATGTCCAGAAACAAGTTAAAATGTCTGAGACAAATGACCTAGAGGTAGACCTGGACTCCATTCTGTAAGGATGGCAGGTCTTGGAAATGCCTGAGATGAAATTCAGAAAAATGATTATAAAATGTTTCAAAACACTTTACAATGGAGTTGAGAAAAATAAGTCAGGAAAGCATTACAGGAACAATCAAATTAAGATAGATACAGTATTGGAAACAATTCACAACCTACAGAAAGAAGTCCAAATGATCAATAATAGAATATCAGAAATAGACAATATTCTGAAAGGGCAAAGGAGTAGAATAGAAGAGATGGAAGGCAGAACCAGTGATCTGGAAGACAAATCTCTCAATACCACTAAGATAGAAGAGCAAACAGAAAAAAGGATTGAAAAATCTGAAGAAGGTCTAAGATTCATGTTGGGTAACATGAAGAGGAATAACTTAAGATATATCGGCATTCCAGAACAAGAAGAATCACACAAGTCCACAGAGGAAATAGTTGAAGAACTGCTGGAAGAAAATTTCTCTAACATCCTGAAAAGTGAAAAGATAAACATTCAAGAAGCTCAACAAACCCCAGGAAGGATAGACCCCAAAAGAAAATCACCAAGACGTATCATAATCAAGCTCTCCAAAATCAAAGTTAAGGAGACAATCCTGAAAACAGCTAGAGAAAAGAGAAGTGTTACATACAAAGGCAAGGAAGTCAGATTAAACTTGGCTCTATCAGCAAAAACCATGCAGGCAAGAAGGCAATATATAAAATTCTGAAAGAAAAAAACTGTCAACCAAGTATCCTTTATCCCAGAAAGTAATAAATCAGATATGACAGTGTAATCAAACACTCCAGGACAAACAGAAGTTAAGGGATTTTTCCAAAGCCAACCCTGCACTACAAAACATCCTAAAGGGAGTTCTGTGGACTGAGAACCAACAAGAACAGACAACAACCAGAGATAGACATATGTGGCAGAATTCCCAGAACTAAATCAACAGAAGGAATAGTCGAGAACAGAGCAAAACTATAAGAACAAACTCAGAGAATCTGGGAGGTCAGTCTATGATCAAAACAATTACAATATAAAAGAAGGTAAACACGTAGGAACAGAATCCAGATGGTGAGAAGGTCACGTAGATTACAGGATAAAATAGACTTCACTAAATGTAGGTAAAAGTTAATGGAATATAAGGTAACCTCAAGGAAAATTAACACTTCACAATATACCAAAAAAATGAAAATCCAAGAACATGGAAACCTTGTCGCACACCTTTTTTAATTTTAAAACATTCAGTGTTCCCATGTTCTATTCGAACAACTGTCTCTTGGTCCAGGTACAGATTCTTCATGAGCACAACTAAGTGTTCTGGAATACTCATACTTTGTAATGATGTCCGTAGCTTGTCATGATCCACACAATCGATAGCCTTTGCGTAGTCAATAAAGCACAGGTAAACATCTTTCTGATATTCTCTGCTTTTCAGCCAAGATTCATCAGATATCAGAAATGATATCCCTTGTTCCACAGCCTCTTCTGAACCTGGCTTGAACTTCTGGAAGTTCTCTGTCAATGTATGATTGTAGCCATTTCTGCATTACCTTTAGCAAAACTTTACTCGCATGGGATATCAAAGAGATTGTCTGATGATTTCCACATTCCATTGGGTCACCTCTCTTTAGAATAGGCACACATATGGATCTCTTCCAATCAGTCGTCCAGATAGTTGTCTTCCAAATTTCTTGGTAGAGATGAGAAGGTGCCTCCAGTGCTGTCTCACTTTCTTGAAAGATTTCAATTTTTATTCCATCAATTCCTGGTGCCTTGTTCTTTGCCAATTCCTTCAATGCACCTTGGATTTCCTCCTTCAGTATCATTGGCTCTTGATCATATGCTACCTCTTGAAATGGTTGAACGTGAACCATTTCCATTTGGTTCTGTGTATTACTTCCATCTTCTCTTGATGCTTTCTGCATCATTCAATAATTTGCCCAGTGAATCTTTCAATAACGAAAATCAAAGCATCAAAATATTATTATTGTTATTACTGTATTATTACACTTAAGATGCTTTAATATATCTTTAATATATATGTTGTCGTTATATGCCGTGGAGTCGGTTCTGACTCATAGCAACCTGTATAGGGTTTCTGAGGTTGTAAATCTTTATGGGAGCAGAAAGCCTCATCTTTCTCCCGCGGAACAGCTAGTAGTTTCGAACTGCTGACTGTGAGATAAGCAGCCCAAACAGACTGAGTCTTGGGGAACAGTGGGAGATGGGAGGATCCAGCTTTAAGAGGCCTTAAATGCCAAGCAAAGTAGTTTGAACTAAGTAGAAGAGGGTAGACCATATATACATGTTAGAAAGTGCTTGTGGGTAGGCATGTGACTGACAGATGAGAACATTCATGACCACAGGTACCACAGGTAAGGGTATCAATCTGTCCAGCTTCTGATGTGCTTTTCATAGAACAGACCAACAACCACAGTATCAGCTGCACAATTCCAATATCTGAATCTCTAGTTAACTTTCCACACACCAACATCTCATCTCCCCTAGACCTTCATTTTCTTGAGAAGATGTATGATTAGACCTATGCTTTCTGGTCCACCATGAAGGGATTCAACATATGTGCCAAGTTACTGCAATGTTTCCTGCACTAGTCCTGAGCTGAGGAAGGGTGCTGTGCCTGAACTCTACATGGAACCCCCAGAGAGAAGGCAACTGAACACTCCCCAGAGCTCTTCAATATCAAAATTATCACACTTAATCTCATAACCTTATAACACTCAATTTTTAATTTACAATCTCATATATGGCTAAGGTATCCTATTATATATCTGATCACTTCTAAAAAGACATCTTTCATTTATTCAAACAAATTTTATTGAGGACCTAAAGTCAATAATATAAGTGCTAGATACTATGTAGACACAGATAGATAAGGCATGTGACCTGCCCTCAAAGTGCTTACACTTTAATATGGCATAAAATAGAGGTGGTAAAAGGTCCGTTGCTGTTACTGCTTGTTGTTGATTCTGACTCATTGTGACCCCATATGAGGGTCAGATAATAAAGTACAGGGAGTTGGCAGATGGGATGGGTCACACATGGCCACGAGGAGTCTTCATGGTGAAAGTAGAATTTAAGGAGAGCTTAGAAATGGATAGAATTTCATTAAATGGAGAGCTTTTGTTGGGATTTTCATAGGTAGAAAACACGTTTCCAGATGATGATACCAGATTAGCAAAATCAGAGACAGAAAAAGTCCTAGGGGTGCTTAATGGGGCGGCTGGTGAAAATCAGATTAGTTTAGCTGAAGCAAGGGCTTACAGAGAAAGTGGTAGGAGATGAGGTGGGAAAGGAAGCTCAGAGCTAGAAGACACCACTAGGCGCTTTTTCAATGAATGATAATAGTATTGTTGTTAAGTGCACAACTCATAACAACCTGTATAGGGTTTCTGAAGAGCAGGTGGTGGATTTGAGCAGCTGACCTTGCTGTTAGCATGGATAGCAGTCCAGCACTTACCCTACAGTGCCACATAGGAATGTGAATATTAGAGAAGGATATTTCTGTAAAGGTAGTATGCAAGATGGAAGCAAGAGGAATCTACTTGTCCAAGAGTTAGATAATGAGGGCCCAAACTGTAGGGGGATGGAGAGAAAGGGGGTAAAATACACCAGGAAGGAAAACTAGAAATCACTATCACTAACAAGGAGTAAGGAATGCAAACTTACTCTGAGGTGTAACAGAGGTAGGGGAGTTGTTAGGAGGAGCTGATGTGAAAACTGCAGGCATGGAGAGGGTAGAGATAAAGAAATATTCTAAAACATCCTATGGCTAGTTAAGAAAATCTAAATGAGTTTCATTATTATAACGTGAACTTCAGATTTTTCCCCCTAGATAATGAAATGATACTCAAAATTTCTCTAACCTGTGTCCTTTGATCTTGGAAGAAATCACTGTAGTGTTTCAGCAAGGAAAGCTGCACCGTGCTCTCGTCATACTTGATTAAGAAGTATGGTAGGGCTGTCACACCCTCGGTGTGACACAAGTCATCATATGCAAGCTCAAGGGCTTGAACCTGAAAACAGAAAACATCGCCATTTCTAGATTATTATTAACGTCCTTCAAGCAAAAAATTAACATACATTGAAAGGCATCTTAAAGCCAGAAGACCCCTTTTGCAGCAACTGAACATAACAGTGCCTCAGAGCATCTCACTTAACTTTCACACAGCACTTTCAGCATGCCCGATGCAGGGCCTGAGATGGGGACACCAAGTAATGTTATCTATAGTACAGGGCAGTGCTTCTCTGTGATGTCAGCCACAAAGCTTAAGAAGGCAGCCAACATACATACTTTCTGTCCTTGTAGTAACTCAGTACAAATCTACCCTGTTTGAATTTTATCCAACATTACTTATAAATTTTTCTCTTTTATTTATGAATTTTACTTTTATATAATCTTTTCTTAAAACCATTTTATTGAGACATAATTCACACACTGTACAAATAATCCATTTAAAGTGTTCAGAGGATTCTAGTATAAACACAGGGTTGTGCAACCATACATTTTTGCCCCTCCTAAATGAGGTCCCATACCCACTAGTAGTTAGTGCCTGTCCATCCTTTCCCCACCATCTACATGAGGTGGCTTCCAAAAATTCATGGAAAAATGAAAAGAGAATCGAATTTTTCATGAACTTTTGGAAGGGTCCTTGATTTTCTTCTTGGGAAAGTAGTTCCTAAAACTAACTTAAAAGAAAGAAAGGAAAATAAAACAATAAGGTCTGCTCCCTGACTTCAGTATTCAGAGTTCTAGTCACTAGTATGCTTTATGAATTTAAATCGTCTTGCAACTCAATATTTGCCTTAACAACAATCAGAATTTTTTAGTTTAAGCTTGCTCTTCTACCAGGCTGACTGTTTTTATTGTTCTCAGGATCATCTCTAACAACCTAATCATCTTTCTTAAACTGCAAAGACTAGCTCTGCAAGCCTTATTCCTGATGTAGACATTCTGCAACTTGGTAGAAGGGCAGAAGAATCTCTAGTTTGTCTCAAAGACTCTCTGTAAAGATACTAAGTGTTTCTGGGCATTTCTGCATTTCAACAAACAGTAGTCATGATTCCTGGCTCCTTTCCTAGGGTAGAACAGAGAGTATAGCACTTATTGTCTACTTAACAAAGAAGGAGGTCTTCTTCCCAAAGGACAGTGCTTTCTGGTTCCCCAGGCCAAAAGTGAAGACCACAAATTGGGAAACTGTTGCAGTCTTTTAAAATGCTTCTATAATCCTCCCTCTTGGCATAGCAAGTCCCTAAGTGTCACTGAAAACCTGGAAAAGTCTTCTTCACTCCTCCCGCCAAGTGATTTCACAAACATTTTTTTAAAAAAGTCTCTACCTAGTCACCAGCTGTCATTCACCATAGTGCCTATTTCTCTTCAGAATGAACTAGTGTCGCACATAAACCCAAGTTTAGTTTAGTTGCTTGCATTTGTTCTATTTTTTGATACCTGTTTTGGTGAAAACCGTTGATGCAAACTCACTGGTCCTTGAATGAGAGGTATACTCTCTGGAAGACAGAGGGCAGGGTAGCAAAACCAATAGTAGAAGTGGTATTTCTTTAGATCCTAGAAAACAATAGAAACTAGGCTATTAGAATAGCACTAACAGACAAACACTGTATGATCCCACTTATAAGAAATCTCTGAAATGATTGGTGGTGGGAGGCTGGGAAGGTGAGGGAGGAAAGGAGGATGGGGAAAAAATCGTATTTTAGGGGATGCAAATCATTTGTGCTGTACTGCTATCCCAAGGGTTAGCATTTCAACCTTGAGAATAAAGAGTCTGACAATCTGATTCTGTTACGATTAAAGCCCAGGCAATCCTATGAAGTAGTTCTGTAGTACATGGGGTTACCTTGGGTCAACACTAACTCAAAGGCAATGACAACAACAACGACAAATTCCTCAATATAGATGAAAGAAAAAAGAATAGCACCAACAATGAAGCTAAAATACATGTCTTGCCGTAACTTCTCATAGCCACTTGTTGTTGTTGTTATGTGCCGTTGAGCCAGTTCCAACCCATAGCGACCCTGTATAGAGTTTCCAAGATAAAGCTGGTGAGCTTGAACAGCCAACCTTGCAGTTCAAACAGCTTTGCAGTCTAGTGCATTAGCCCACAGCGCCACACCAGAACTCCCACAGCCACTTAGGACAGAAAAACTGACTCACACAAAACATGACCAGCTTGCTTGATATTCTCATCTCTTCTTGATAGAATGTAGTGCTCCTGTCAATCTCAAAACACTCCCTCATGCACATACCACACACTAATAGTATGAAGATAAACGTAATTCTCTTTATTGGTCACTTGCTAACACAGAATTATGTTAAGTGGCTGACATTATTGCTCCTATTATTTAATCCACTCTTGGAAGTGGCTATTATCATCCCATTTTATAAACAGAAAACAGAAGCTTAGATAACAAAACAAAGGTGGTGAGTGCAGAGAAGGAGTCAGAACTCTGCACCTAAACTGCAGCTTTCCCCCACTATATCATATGCACTCAGTGCACCATCTGTAGAGGCACGGCTCTCAGTGTCATACCCCTCACAGTCAGATACATTACGTCTGCTCTGAAAGAAGCTGTGCTAACTCCACACCTATATATGAGTGACAGAATATATAGTTTCCAGAAATTTCTTATTAGTGAAATTCAAGTCAACAACAACTATTAAGCACTTGTTGTGTACCAAGACCACCACCTATCTATCAGTGGTGGCTTGCATGTTGCTGTGATACTGGAAACTGTATCACCAGTATTCCAAATACCAGCTGCATCACCAGTAGTGAACAAGTTTCCGTGGCATTTCTAGACTAAGAGAGACTAGGAAGAAAGGTCTGGTGATCTACTTCTGAAAACCAGAAGTGGCTCATAAGAGAATATTTTCTGATACAGTGCAGGAAGATGAGTGCTCTAGGATGGCAGTCACTAGTAATACACAGAGGCTGCGACAACGGATTACAGCATATCCACGAGAAGAAGATGACGCAGGACTGTACTATGTTTTGTGCTGTTGGACGTGGGCCTGATGTTAGTGCAGCTGACTCGATGGTAGTTAATAACAGCAACCTGTGCAAAAGAAATACTGGGTACTAACCACAAAGATGAGTACAACCATTTCCCAGCCCTTGGGCAGCTACTCACTTTATGATAAGAGAGTACACTGTTAGCTGCAGGAGTCACAACAGAGGCTCTCAGTACTAAGGGGTTCCATCGTTTCAGGAGTATTGTCCTGCTCCCTCAGCAGGGACGAGAGACATGAAGCTATCCTTGACACTATTCCCATTCAGACACACTAATTGTGTTTCTGAATTCCCATAGCATCAGTGGCCCCAACACCCAATGTGTTTGGATCGGGTAGACTCCCCAGCAATCTGTGACTGCTGACCACTAAGGCAGTTTCTCTGGCTCATTATTATTTCTTCTTGAATCTTGCTAAGAATAAAACTGGATGGTTGTTTTAGATTATTTTTTTATTACTGAGATAGAATTTACATGCCATAATTCATATTCATTATAATGTGCATAGTTTAGTGGTTTTAAGTGTGTTTACTGACAAGGTTGTACCCCCATCACCACTAATTCAACATTTTTATTGCCCTCAAAAGAAGGTCCTTAGCCACTAATAGTCATTGCTATTTCCCCACTTCCCCAGCCCCTGTTGTGGTTGCTAAGTGACGTAGAGTCCATTCCAACTCACAGGGACCCTGTACAGTTGGTGGTTTTGAACTGCTGATCTTGTGATTAGCAGTCCAGTGCTTATACTACAGCAACACACCCCTGGCAACCTTTACTCTACTGTCTGTCTTTATGGATTTGCGTATTCTAGACTTTTTATATGAATGGAATCATATTAAATAAGTTTTAAAATATAAATTTATATATAATGTGTGCCCAGATGAGAAAGTCAAATAATTACAGTTTCAGCGATCTCTAATTCTGTCACTAATTAATCAACTAAGAACACATTCCCTTTAGACAATAGCAAAGCAAATTGCAAAATTGAAATTAATGAAGTGCCTGTTCCTTTGAGTCATAGAAACAGCAGAAACGAAAGCAAAAACACCTCCAGAGACTATTATCTCTTTGTATTTAAATGATTTGCCATACCTGATCTTTAGTAAAAGGTTAAACAATTCACGATCAAAGACTTCACAATTTCTAAGATGCTTTAGCAGGTCATCTTCAAAAGTCAAATGGCTTCTTGACGTTCTTAGGATTTTTGGAGGGGATACAAAGGACTTCAATTAAATTGGACACAAAGCTCTGAAGATTTCAAAAGATAGAGTTTTATTTTTTTAGAGCCAGGCTAAGAACACTCAGTAAAAAGGGCAAAGAGGCCAATACACATACACTGACTCCAGGAAATGCCTTAAAATTGGAATAAGAAGTAATATTATTTATCACACAGTATTGATTATGTTCTACTAGTGAGGATCTTTAGTATATAAAATTTATTGATCAAATAACAAAACCAAAAATCGTTTAGTTCAACTGAGGTTGTTGTTGTTGATTAGTGCCGACGAGTCAGTTTTGACTCATAGTGTCCCTGTATATGGTTTCCAAGGAGTAGTTGGAGGGTTTGAATTGCCAACCTTGTGGTTTTAGCAGTCCAGTGCTTATCCTACAGTGTATCACCTAGTAGCCCCCAAACCAAACCCACCCCATTGCCTTTGAGTTGATTCCAACTTCTAGTGACTCTACAGAACAGAAGTCTATAGGACAGGGAGTCCTGGGGTGGCACTGTAGGATAAAGACCTGGATCATGAGGTCAGCTTGAACTGCAAGGCCAG